AACCATCTTCGAGCAACATTTGTAGCCGTTATGCTTCTGCGCCTCTGTTCGTCAGTTCGTTGATGGAGTTTGCTTATTTTCGTGAGACACAGAAGTGTGCTCTTGCATGTGTCACGAGCGACCTCGCGTTTGGTTCATTGCATCGGCCACGTTATTCAGCAGTCATCATTTTCAGATATTCATCTTACTACGCGCCACCATCAATCGCCCACTCGACATGTTTAACTGTTTACTGCCTTCCGCTATAGTATTTACCCTTGCCCTTTGGTCAGCTGAAGAACTCGACCATCTTCAACGGCTGAGATTAAAAGTTATCGTTTCGGTGCTTTCTGGCCATCGATCGGAGTTCAACCTGAAGTCCTCGTCAGGACGGCGTAATCATTACGTTCGTCACTATGCTGAAAGCACACTGTCACATCGAGGCGAGACAGTTCCCCTTGCGATGAGATCTTACGCACGCCAGCAACTTGAAGTTGCTTGACAGAAAAAGGCGGTAGGTTAGGGATCGCGGACAGCAAAATGCGATCTCCTAGGTAACGAGTGTTTAGACCAATAAAGAGACGGAATCGGGAGAACTAGATGGATCTTGAGGATGTACGATTATGAAAACACTTGGACGAGCCGCTGCTACTGCGGCAATTTTGAAGAATGTTTCTGCTACTACTGCAAAACGATGCTACGCCAGCCAATGAGAATGCTCATTTTTTGGAATTCAGAATTTCTCTCCTTTGTATCGCAAGCTCGGTGCCATTGCGTGCACCAGTGTCTGTGTGACACATGTCTTTCATGTCAGGTCGCACAACATTCCCAATGTGCATTCACTTGGGACGCGGCTCCGTCCCAATTTGACAGCGGCTCGTGCAAAATGGGGATTGGGACGCTAATTTATTAGGCCAGGAATGTCCCTAATTTTGCAGGGCTTTAAAACAACAACCTGCGTACCTCATGTGAAAATCTAGGGCCTCCTTTCCACAGATCCGCCACTTGAAAAAAAAAAAGTATTCCTGCGGTTAATGCAGGGAAGGGTACGTAGTCTGTACCGAGACCGCCACTGGTGCTCTTCTGACCACGTTCCACCGGGACCCTGTGTCTGACCTGTTTACGCTTGACACTGCATCCCCCCCGGTAAGGGAGTCCCCCGAGGTGCTTGCGTACATACAGGTCGCCGCGGCTTGCTCGTGTCGGTCGCTCACTCACCCCTCGCTGCTGTGGCACCACCGCCTAGGTCACCCCGCACTTCCGCATCTACGGTACATGTCCCATCACGGAATGTCTTCGGTCTTCCAACGTCGCTCCCTGCCCTTCCTCCCTCGCCTGTGCCGCCGTGCATGCCTTGCACCCAGGGCTGGCTGCCCCATACTCCTCACTCCTCCTTGCTTCCCCATACCACTGCGCCACTCCAGACCCTGCACCTGGACGTTTGGGGACCCGCCCCCGTCCCTGGGCTGCGTCGAGAGCGCTACTTTCTAGTGCTTGTCGACGCCTACACGGGCTACACCACGGTGTTTCCCCTGGAGCGGAATGCTGACGTGCCTGACATCCTTATCCCGTGGGTCGTAGCTGCGCGAGTCCACCACGGCCTCTCCGTGCTGTGTCTCCACCCCGACCGTGGTGGCGAGTTTGCCTCCGGTCGGCTTGGCCAGTTCTGTCGTGCGGAGGGCATCACCCAGTCATACACCCTACTGGACTCCCCGCAACAGAATTGGGTCGCTGAGCAATGCATCGGTTTGGTCATGGAGGTGGCTCGTACCTCCATGATCCATGCCGGTGCACCCCATTTTCTGTGGTCGTTCGCTGTTCGCTACGCCGCTCACCAGCTTAACCTGTGGCCGCACTCCCAGCAGCCGCAGGTTTTGCCGACACTTCTCTGGACCGGGTTCCCTGGTGATGCATCTACGTTCCACGTCTGGGGTTGCCTTGCTCACGTTCGTGCCTCTGGAACGGACAAGCTCAGTGCCCGCACTGTCCCCTGTGTTTTCCTTGGTTTCCCCCTCGACGAGTCTGACTGGCACTTTTACCACCCGCCGTCTCACCGCTTCTTTCACTCCCGTCTAGTGTGTCTCACGTCACTCCCCTCCCGTCGGTTGTCCCGGTCGAGGAGTCGGCTAACTCTGGTGGCCCTGCGGCGCCGCTCTCACTGCCTGTCTTCGCGCCGGTGTCTCCTCCTCCGGCGTCGCAGCAGTTGCCGCCGACACCACCGTAGCAGCAATCGCCGCCGCCGCCGCCGCAGCAGCAGTCGCCGTAGGGGTCAGCAAGCTCTAGGGGTGCGGGCGTTGAGCAGGGTGCTAGTCCTGGGGTTCCTGTCGTGGCTTGTCCCGGTGGTCCTAGGGGTGGCACCGCTGCTGGAGAGGGTTCTCGTTTTGGGGGTGCTAGTCCAGGGGTTCCTGTCGAGGCTCTTCCCGGCAGTCCTGGGGGTGGCACCGGTGTTGGAGAGGGTTTTGACTCTTGGGGTTCTGGCCTGGAGTGTCCCGGAGGTAGCCGTGTCGTAGCTTGAGGTTTTGGTGTCGGCGTGGAGTAGCAGCAGCAACAGTCGTCACCGGTGTCCGCGCTTCGCCTCCTCGATCTTCCCTCCCCTGACTACTCACCTGTTCCTCCCCTGCCGCCGCCTCCCCTGCCTGTCTACGTCCATCTGTTTCCGTTGCCGGACTCGTCTCCGACTCGTTTCCCCCCTCGTTCTCCTCCTTTGTCTCCTCCTGTGTCTCCTGACCCGACGCCTCCATCCAACATTTGGTCTCGCCGTCCCTCTTGTGCTCGTCCTGTCTCTCCTGTTCAGTGCGATCACCCTATAATGCTTTGTTCCCATGCGTTTCGTCCTCCCCTCCTCTCGTCGCCTCCTCCGTCGTCGCTTATTGTTGCTCTGCCTCCTTTGCCTGAATTCCTTTGTGCTGCTAGTCCTCTTGTTCCTTGGGTCCTTGCCTCCCTCGTTACCGACCCATCTGTTCCTGTCTCGAGTCTTGATGCTCTTGTCGCTGCTGTCGCTGACTTCGCCTCTACCCGCCGCCTTGACTACTCTACCGCTCTGGTCTCTGACCCTGTCTGTCCTCCGTCTGTCGGGGGTGCTCCTGCCCTTGTCAGTGACGTCCTAGAAGATAGGCAGTACGAGCTTGCTTTCCTGTCGAAGGCAGCTCCACATCTCTGCTCCATGCTGCTAGTCCCTGAGGGTGACCAAGACGCCTTTGACATCCCGACCCCTCACACTTACGCTGAGGCGACCTCAGGACCCTGGGCCTCTCTGTGGAAAGCTGCCATGGACGCGAAGACATCTTGGAGATCCACCAGCACCTACGCCGACGCAGTTTCCCAACCTGGGGTGAACGTAGTCGATGGCCGGTAGCTCTTCAAGGTGAAGCGCCCTCCTGGAGAGCCGACGGTGTTCAAGGCGCGCTACGTCACTCAAGGCTTCAGTCAGCGTGAGGGGGTGGACTTCTTTCAGACCTTCGCCCTGACCCCGAAGATGACCACTCTTCGGGCACTGCTATACGTAGCAGCACAGCGTGACTACGAGCTGCACTCTCTCAACTTCTCGACAACGTTTCTTCAGGGCAGTTTGCACGAGCACGTCTATCTGAGTCGCCGGCCAAGCTTCACCGGCACATTCGCCCGGAGGACCCAGTGGCTCCTCCGGTGCCCGGTTTATGGCCTGCGGCAGGCGCCGCGCGAGTGGCATGATACGCTTTGTGCTACGTTAGCTAACCTGCAACTCTTCACATCCTGTGCATACCCTTCGCTCCTTCTTCGTTCAGGCCAGACTCCGTTCTACATCCTTGTCTACGTAGACGACCTAGTCTTTGCTACTGCAGACAGAGATGCTCTGGCCTCATAGAAGGCTGAGCTGTTGAGGAGACACACGTGCACTGACCTAGGAGAGTTGCGCCGCTACCTTGGCCTGCAGATCTCCAGGGACAGAGCAGCGCACACCATCACTCTCACACAGTCACACTTGGTGCGCCAGGTCCTTCAGAGGTTCAGTCTTCAGTTTTCCTCCGCGCAGTCCACACCTCTACCAGTAGATTACAGGCGCTCGACTCCAGTCCCTGACGAGTCGGTAGAGCCTAATGGTCCGTACGCAGAGCTGGTGGGTTGCCTCATGTACCTGATGACTTGCACTCGTCCAGATCTCGCATACCCTCTCAGCATCCTGGCTCGCTTCGTGACGACAGGCAGACACCGACCACAGTACTAGTCGGCAGCTAGGAGAGTTTTGCGTTATCTAGCAAGTACATCGGGAATGGGGCTAGTGCTAATAGGACGCAGACGCTTCGTGGTCCGACGACGCTGAGACGCTCAGGTCTTCTCAGGGCTATTGCTTTAGCCTTGGTGTAAGGGTTGTCTCGTGGAGGTCCATCCATTCGTTGTCTGTTGCATAGTCTAGCTGTGAGGCTGAGATCAATGCCGGTGCCATGGCGGCACAGGAGCTCCGTTGGCTGACGTTTCTGCTTACAGACTTAGGTGAGCGGCCTAGCTTTGCCCCGGTCCTGTACGCTGACAACATGGCCATGATCCTCGTATGTCAGGAGCCTCAACTGGAGGGCAGAGCGAAGCACATCCAGCTGCGGTACTTCCTCCTGCGCGAGCTGCAGCAGCTACGCCAGGCCCGCGTAGTTCAATTGGCCTCCGGTGCCAACACAACTGATAACTTTACTAAGGTGCTTGTGCCTAAAGATCATCAGTGGCACTGTGTACAGCTTGGTCTAGTTCCAGTAGCTCCTCCTCACTTGCTAGGACCTTGATTGTATACTAGTCTTATTATATTCTCCGGACTGGCCTTGTGGCTTCTGCTCTAGTGGCCGGACTAATAGTGTCGCCCTGGTTTGCTCTTGTCTTGTTTGTACTCTTTTGACTCGTCTTCAGACCCTTGCCTCTGAGGTTGGACTAGTAGTGCCACCCTGAGCTGCGTGTCTCGTGCCAGGCATCGCCCCTTGTCTAGCCTAGGGGGTGTGTCAACATATATTTGTATATGTTATAGGCTAGATAGGTGCATGCTCATAGAGGATATAGCACCATAGCACAAAAGCTCCTTGTATGGCACAATGTAGTTCTAACAGCAAGTACCTCTTACAACTCCACATTTACAAAACCGCTACCGGTACCACTAATTGGATTCTCCTCCCTACCGTATTAGCCGTCCAAAACCCAAGCAAAACCGGTCACACAGGATCAGGAAGCAGCATCTAAAACAAGGGGGCAGCAGCACTTCAGTAGCCATCAACTCTCCGTTGCACTGACCGACCAGCGAACCCCCCACCTCTACCTAGACGTGTCCAGGGGCGGGAAGGGCACAGCAGTCAGCGGCTGCGCCTGCTCCAGGAGCTCTCTCCTCAGCCCGGTGTACCCAGGGGGGCCGAGGCACACGGGGCGGAACTTGATGAGTGACGCGGGCACCAGCTCCTCTCTCTCCAGCGATGGCATGGGCGCCGACTCGCCTGCTGCCACGGACGATATGGTCTGGGAGCGGCCAGCCATGGGGATGGGGTGCAGGAGTTGGAACTCCTGCGTGGGGTCCCTGAGGGCCTCTGCCACGAACTGGGAGGGGGTGGGAAGGGGGGTGGGAGGGGGTTGAGACATGAGTGGGGGATTTAAGACGAGTCAGAGACTCGCTATGGGGATGGGGTGCAGGAGTGGGAACTCCTGCGTGGGGTCCTTGAGGGGCGCTGCCACAAACTGGGAGGAGGGCAGGGGGGGAAGGAGGGCAGTGGGACAGAGTATGGAGAGAGGACGGTGGATGAGTTGCAAGGACGGGAGAGGGTGATGGAACAAGCGATGGGGGCAGCTGAGGGGCCTAGCATATGGGCAGACTGCACTGCATAGGAGAAGAACATGGCTGCAAAACCCACTGCCCACCCAGCTACCCAGCCAGGCAGCCAGCCACCCACCTCATAGAGTGCGGACGTGGGTTCGCTGGGTCGGAACACCCCCTGCAGCACGAGCCCATCTGGGAACATGACCCGCACGATCGCAGCCCGGTACTTCCTCTTGAGCGCGGCGGCCTGCCGCTCGCGCATAGCGCGCGTCATGAGCAGCTGCGCGCCCTCCTGCGCGCGCTTGCGCGCCATCGCCTCCTGCCGCACGTCCTCCGCCGTGCGGTCAAAGAAGGAGTCTGGCACCTCGATGCGCGCCGCCTTGTTCTCCTCCGTCGACAGGAACAACCGCACCTGGTGGGGGGGAGGGGGAAAATGGGGGGAGGGGGGTGGGGAGGGGGGAAAGGGCGGGGAACGGGTGAAAGTGGGGAAGGGGGGGAAGGGGAGGTGTGGGAGGGGGAAAGGAGAGGGTAGGGGACAGGCCCTGGGGGTGCTGAAATGTGATCCCCCCAGGAAAAATTGAGTGCCCTGAACAACTACCTCGTCCCTATCCTCATGTATGTGTATATGCCGCCACTTCATTCCCCGGGCCCGTAGCTCACCCTCGTCTCCCATACAGCCATACCTGGCGATCAATCCTGGTCATGGGTGCCACTGCTTCCTGCTCCCCTCCCTCCACTGTCGCTGCAGCTGCAGCAGCAGCACCGCCTGCTTCAACACTCCCTCCCGCACCAGCAGCAGCAGCAGCACCCCCAACAGCAGCAGGAGCAGCAGAGAAAGCAGGAGCATTACTCTGCCCACCCACAGCAGTAAGCACCTCCACGGCCTCATTGATCAACTCCAGCCTCACATCCGTCATCACTGCCCACCGCTCCACACCCCCCCCCACCACACTCCCACCCGCTGCAGCCCCCCCCTCCGCTGCCTCCTCCACCATAGCAAATCCCACAGCCTGCAGAAGGTCCATGGCCCCTGCTGCCCTTCCAATCGTGTCCGCGATTCGTGGGTTGCCCAGGCGAATGCGCTTGAACTTGGGGTTGCCTGGGTCCGTTACGATGTTGCGCAGGATGCGTGTGAGTATGTCGAGAGTGGGTGTGGGGGGTGCGGCGGAGAGCACGACGGCAGCAGCATGGTGCACGGACTCCATCGCATCGTGGAGGTCAGGTGAAGACATCGTCTCCACTGCTCCTGTCGATGCTGCTGCCGCTGCTGCTGCTGCTGCTGCAGGTGGTGCTACTGCTGCAGGTGGTGCTGCAGGTGGTGCTGCAGGAGGTGCTGCAGGTGGTGCTGCAGGTGCTGCTGCATCCACTGCCCCGCCGTCCGTGCTCTCCACCTCCATCCCCCCACCTTGGTAATCTGATGGCCTTGACTTCTCCGCTGCGCCTCTCCCTGCTGCTGCAGCCGCCGCTTCCGCCGCTGCGTCTGCTGCCGTCTGTGCGTGCTGTGCTCGCCCCAGCGCGTCGCCCGCATCGTCTGCAGCCGTGGATCGCTCCAGCCCTCTCGTCAAGCACTCGTCTATATGCGCCGCCACGTCAGCTTCGCTGCCCGAAAACACTGAGCACACGGGACACGTGGCACGCACCGCTCCAGCCGAAACCGCCGCTGGAGGTGCGGAGGAAATGACAGGCGAACCCCCCCAAGCACCAGCAGCGCCAGCACCGGCGCCAGCACCGGCACCACCACCCGCACCAGCACCCGCACCAGCGCCAGCGCCAGCGCCAGCACCCGCACCCGCACCAGCCCCCCCGACAAATCTAGGGGAGCGCTGCTGTTGTGATAGCTGCTGCTCCCGCGCCTGCTGCGCCTTCCCCTGTCCTTGCGCTTGCGCGGGCGCTTCCGGTGCCCCTCCCGCCCAGCGCTGGTGCATCTGCTGCCGCCACTCCTCCTTCTGCTGCTTCTGCAGCTGCTCCTGCCGCTCCGCCGTCTCATGCAGCGCCCGCCCCGCTGCTGCGCCGGTCCGCGGAACGCCCAGCGGGCGGGACCCCCCCGCTCCGCCAGACGAGCCTTCCCCGCCACCGAGCTTCCGCCCCTGGCCCTGAAAGCTGGACTGCTGCGCGAAGGGCGACGTCCATCCCTTCATAAATTCCTTAGCCTTCGCCGCTAGGTCATCCATCGGCGGAGAGAAATTCGCGCACCCGCAGTTAGCGGATCGGATTCAAACGAATGGAAAGTATGTCGCGTCAAGGAACCAAGAAATGGCGAACTTGCCGGAAAAGCAGGAAGATTGATGCGTGTGAGAGGATGAATGTACCAGTGCTGCTGTGGGGTGGTGGTGCATCCGTCTCGCTGGCGTGGGGATTGGTTGATTCACTTGGGAGGGGTGGGGGGAAACGTGAAGCGAAGTGATGAAATGAGACCCCAAGAAGACGTCACCTTGGGGGGTTCCCAAATTTCACGGGAGTGACGACGACTGCTCCCGCGATTCCTGAACATTCAGAATTGCTACACTGATATAAAAACAAATTCACTAGACCTACGTTCCATGTGACACAAAAGCAATCCATCATTTTGTTGTGCCCATACCACTATTAGCATTGAATTATCCGCATTAAGGTACGAAATGCGAAGGTTACACTGGGGATAATTGCCCTAGTCAATCCAAGTCACCTTCGTGATCTAGTCCGCCTTGTAACTGGCCTTATAACCTCCACTATCTCTTCCTCCGCTTCCTCCTCCTCCTCCTCTTCCTCCTCGCTCTCGTCGTCCGATTCCGTCCCTTTGCCCTTCCGCTTCCCTCGACCTCCTCTTGTCGCTGCTCCCTCTCTTCTCCCCCCTCCCTTCCGCTTGCTCCCCTTGTCCTCCCCACCCTCTTCTTCCACACCAGCACCATCCCTCCCCCTACCCCCTGTCAAACACGCCGCAAGCACCGCCCGCCCACTCTGCATCTGCCGACCACCCTCCATCCCACCATCTACCTCCGGTGCTTGAATCACCACTCCCTTCCCTCCTCCCTTCCTACCCCTCCCTCCCACATTCTTCCCCACCTTAGCAGCCACCGCCAGTGCCGCAGACTCAACCAGAGCTGCCGTCAGCGCCTCGTCCTCCTCCTCCCCCCCCCCTTTCCCTTTCCCCTTGCCCTTGACCTTGCCATTGCTCTTCCCCTTCCCCTGCGCCTTCTCCGTTCCCAGTGCATGCCCCTTCCCTCTGCCTTTACCCCATATATCAGCGTTGAACATTCGGATAGAGCCTCTGTTCCCAAACGCTGCTTGCTGCTGCTGCCCCGCTCCCCCCATGCCCCACGCCCTTGCACCTGAAAGCCCGCCTTGCAGTGACGTTTCTGCACCTTGGTCCCCATCCCCCTCCTCCGCATCCTCAGGTACAGTCCAGATGTAGATAGACCTGAGGCGCAATGGTATTGCACAGTATGTACACGGTGGTAATGAGGACAGCAGAGCGGAAAGAAGGTAGGCTGAGGAGAGAGGGAAGCCTACCCAACCCAGCATCTCTGCGTAACTTCTTTTCCTGGCTTAACACTTCCTTTCGGCAGCGTGACCCCCTCTGTTCGTCAACACTCAACTTCCCCCTGCAGTTCCCCCTTTCATTTCCATGCCCTTCTCCCCCACCCACCCTCACCTCGAGCTGCCAGGAGCAAGCAGGTCACATCTTGGGTGCGGCAGCTTGGAACGTTCCTCCAGGCACCTAACATATATTCCCCTCTTCCCACCCTCACCCTCACCCTCACCCTCACCCTCACCCTCACGTATATTCCCCTCATATATTCACCTGGAGCTGCTGGTCGCAAGCAGGTCGCACCTTGGGTGCAGCAGGTTGAGGCGCACTTTCAGGCATATAGTGCTGCTGGTGGCTAGCAGGTCGCAGCAGGGGTGCAGCAGGTCAAGTCGGGTTTATACGCCAGAGAAATGAACCGTACTTACCACCCACACTAACCTGGAGCTGCCAGTGGCCAGCAGGTCGCATCTTGGGTGCGGCAGGTTGACGGGCGAGATGGTGGTGAGGTGCAGGTCCACGGCGGACGCCAGGAGCGCCCCCGAGGACGCGTCAAGGAAGTCAATGGGGTGAAGCGCCACGCCGTTGTAGTCGTCGCTGATGTACCTCCCACACACCACCACGCGCTCCGCGTCGTCCTGGGGGTGGGGGAAGGAGGGGGAGCAGGAGGAATGCGGGGAAAGAGGTCAAGGGGAGGGAGGGAGAGGCAGATGGAGGATGGAGGGTGTAGGGGAATGAACTAGTTCAGCCGGCGAAAGGGGCAGGTCAATGAGCTCTCTGGTGGAGCGGAGTGTGAGGGAGGATGCGTCGTGCAGGTCAATGGGTGCAGGGGCTATGCTGTTATGGTTGTCGCCGATGTACCGCCCACACACCACCACGAGCTCTGTGTCGTCCCGGGGGTGGCGGGATGAGAGAGGAGGGGACAAGGAGGAACGGGGGAGTGGACGAGGATGGGGTGTGGGGGAAAGAAGAAGGGTAGGGGGAGGCATCAATGTGCTTTGGTTTTGGAGAAGCGAATTGCGAGAGACGCTTAGGAAGTGGGTGGGGAACAAGCAAGGGCGGAGGATGGAAACCGGGGGGAGCTAGGCGCACATGACTAGAGCAGAACTAGACGACACAAAGAGCAGAAGCGCAGAAATGGCCAACAACGCACGGACCTTGGGGTCCCAGTGCGCCTTGAAGGGCGAGAGGTATCGGTTGAAGTCGTGCGAGTGCACGATGGTGCTGCTGGGCTGCTGCAGCGCGCCGAACACGCTGTCCCACACGCGCAGCCGGTTGTCCTGGCACGTGGTCAGGATCCTCGTTCCCGTGATCTGATGGATCAACATGGTTACATGGTTACATGGTTACAGGGTGAACAAGGCCAGGGGCAACGGTTGGGGTGAGCACATGGATCAAGGAAGCCATCAGCTAGTGATAACTTCGCAAAGAGAGGCAGGGAGAGGGAGGGAGAGGGAGGGAGAGGGAGGGAGAGGATAACAAGTGGAGAAGGTGCAACTGTACTGTCATCAGCGCCTGAATCAGGACTGTTCAAGCACACGACGACGCCTAGAGAGAGAGTCTCACGGGCGAGAAGTAAGCGCTGTTAACGACCCGCGGGTGCTGCATGGACGCCAGGCGATGGGAAGGAGACAGCTGCCGTATGTCCCATAGATGCACCTGACAGGGAAAGCGGAACACATGGCCGCACATGGGGCACACAAGGGGGTGGCGTGGGGAGGAGTGTTGGGTCACTAGACCGATTGATACACCTCAAGTGAGAGAGAGCTGCCTTTGGGCCCCTAGATTCACCTGGGAATCAAGTCATCCCTGAAACCCGAAACCTCATCCCCTGAACCCAGCAATGGCATACCCAACAGCAGCAGCATTCCCAGCAGCACATACGCACCCAGTGGTCGGAGCCAGCGGAGAGCAGGAGGTGCGGGTCGGCGGGGTTGAGGTGCAGTGACACCACCTTGGTGCGGCTGGCATGGCACCCCGCCACACCTGCCACTGCCTGTTCCTCCATGCGCTCGTCCAGACTGATGGCCGGCGCGGCGGGAGGAGGGAGGGGGGAGGGAGGTGAGCAAGAGGGTAGGAGGGCAAAAGGGCAAGAGGGCGAGAGGGCGAAAAGGCAGGTGCAGATTTTGTTTGCGGAAAGTGCCCCCTGCACCAGAAACCACAGTGCTTTAAGAGGCATGTGCGTACAAGGAGTATGAGCTCCAGGTGCACATCCCATCTTGTGCGGCATCTCAACTCAATGCAGCAGCACACTCACATGTGCATGCGCCCAAAGTTATCCCCAGCAACCACCACCGAGCGCTGGCTGGCATGAGCATGAGCAGGGGCGTCCATGGCGTAGAAGCTTCCCCACGAGCGCTCGTCGCCCTGCCACCCCAACGGGTTGAGGTTCGCCAGGGCGGTCGCCTGCCCCGTCTCCAGGTCCACACGGCACACCTTGCCGTCCAGCGACGAGGACAGCACCACTGCGTCTGATGATGGGCGGTGCCTGGAAGGGAAAGCGAGGGGGGGGACAAGGGAGAGAAGGGGAGGGCTTAGGGTGGAAGGAGGTTGAGGAGGGTGTGTTTCCACGTCCACATGGCACACCTTGTTTTCTAAGGCGCCTCAAAATGGTCATTTGGGGAGGTTAAAGCCACCGTGCAAGATTGAATAAAACCCTGAATCCATAGAGGTAGTTGGCTGTTGGCGAGTTTAGCAAGGTGGTATGGAAAGAACGAAGAACGTGATTGGTTGGGAATTTGGTGATTTCACCACGCTGTAATTTGATTTTGGTCCTGCCTGTGGGTCCGAGGTGGATGTTGCGGGATAGGGGGGAAAGGCAGGGGGAGTTTTGTGGGCGGGGTGTTGAAAACATTTTGAAATTCGTTGCTGGCGGAAATGATTGAGCCCCGAGGCGGAATCGAAATTGCCCCTTGGGAAGTGGGAAAGTGAGGGCGGGGTGGGGGCCTTGGGGGGGAAACGAAACGGGCTCAGGGGAAGGAAACAAGGCGAGGGGAATCAAACGCATGGGGAGCAGAGTGACAACTTTCGAGGTTTGCAGTGCACCATTCTGGTTCAAGTTTTTGCATGGCTTTTGGCGAGCTCAGCACTGCCTCACCGGGTAACCTAGCCTTTCAACTTATAAACAATTGAACCTCGCTGGCTATATTTGCACCGCGGCTTTAAGGAGGGTGTGTCTCCATGTCCACGCGGCACACCGAGCCGTCGAGGATAGGTGATGGTGAGGTGCTGTTGAGTCCACTTGAATTGCCAGAGACGCACCTGAGCGCGCTGATCTGGTACTGGTGTGCGCTTTGATGCACCGTTGTGTCGCGCTCCCTCTCGTAGTTCCACAGCCCTATGTGCCCCCTCTGCTCGCATGAGACGCACGTGCACACACACACACACGTGTGGCGGGGCGCAGCAGCGCGGAGCAGAGCAGCCAAGGAGGCGCGCAAGGGCAAGAGGGGGGGAAGAGGGTGGAGGGAATAAGTGAAGGGGGGGATCGAAAAGTTTTGCACAGAATGGGGAGGTCGCACATTGCCATGCTTCCACGCTTTTACCCCTGCACACACATTCATGCAACAAGCGCAACAAGAGTCTGCCTGTTCATGACTCCCTTCATCACTCCCTTCATCACTCCCTTCATCACTCCCTTCATCACTCCCTTCATCACTCCCTTCATCACTCCCTACACTCCATAGCATCTTACCTGAGCACCCAGCACAGAGCCCCACCTTGTCGCCAGAGAGCAGCACGTCGTCCCGGGTGGCATGGAACTCCAGCACGGTGACACGCCGCATGTGCAGCGCTATCACCGCCGCCTCCACCACACTAGGCAGCACCCGCCGGTGCCGCGCCACCTGGGGGGGAGGAGGGGACAGAGGGGGGGGGACAGGGGGGGGGGACAGGGGGGTGCACGAGGCGGCACACTCACAGGATCTGCTTAAGAGGCGCGCCCACCACACTCGGCAGCACCCTCCGGTGCCGCGCCACCTGGGGGGGGATAGGGGGGAGAGAGTGGTGGTGCACGGGAGGCACAAAAAACAGCTTTGAAGGGCCTCTACCACACTCAGTAGCACTGTCCAATGACGTGCAACCCACGGGGTGTAGAGGGCGGAGTACGACATTGAAGCTCGGTGAGTGATGATGCGAAGGCAGGGTTGAGTAGGGAGGAGCAGAGAAGAGATGTACAGCGCGGAGCAGAGATGGGCCAAGCCAAGCCGAGGCGAATCAAGGAAGAGACGAGACGAGACGAGCATACCCGTGGCAGCGTGCCTGTGATCTGGCGCTGCTGCACGGTGTGCAGCACCCCCTCGTGCGTGCGCCCTCCCTTCACCGCCGCACTGCCGTCCTCCACACCCACTCGGTGCGGACACGTGGCCGTCGTGTGGCCTGCAGGGTTGCCATGCAGTGCCATGCCATGCCATGCAGTGCCATGCCATGCCATGCCATGCCATGCAGTGCCATGCCATGCCATGCCATGCATTGCCATGCCATGCCATGCAGTGCTATGCCATGCCATGCCAAGACACACATTGTTATGCCATGTGCAACAGGAAACACCAAGTTAGGATGGACTTGGAAGGAAATGAATTTAATACATCTGATGGAGACAACTGAGTATACGAAGGGCAGGAGGGAGAAAAGGGGGCGTGAGGGAGGGAGGGAGCGTGCGTGCACGGTGCACCTGGCAGCTTGCAGAGGAAGCACGGACGGTTGGGGCAGTCTATGTACACTGAACCCACGAACCCAGCCTCGTGGCCCTTGCTGCCGCACACCTGCCATGCACATGCGATGGCAGCAGCACAGCAGCAGCACAGCAGCAGCACAGCAGCAGCACAGCAGCAGCACAGCAGCAGCACAGCAGCAGCACAGCAGCAGCACAGCAGCAGCAGCACAGCAGCAGCACAGCAGCAGCAGCACAGCAGCAGCACAGCAGCAGCACAGCAGCAGCAGCACAGCAGCAGCACAGCAGCGGCACAGCAGCGGCACAGCAGCAGCACAGCAGCAGCAGCACAGCAGCGGCACAGCAGCAGCAGCACAGCAGCGGCACAGCAGCGGCACAGCAGCAGCAGCACAGCAGCAGCAGCACAGCAGCGGCACAGCAGCGGCACAGCAGCAGCACAGCAGCAGCAGCACAGCAGCGGCAGCAGCAGCGGCACAGCAGCGGCACAGCAGCGGCACAGCAGCAGCACAGCAGCAGCACAGCAGCGGCACAGCAGCGGCACAGCAGCGGCACAGCAGCAGCACAGCAGCGGCACAGCAGCAGCAGCACAGCAGCAGCAGCACAGCAGCGGCACAGCAGCGGCACAGCAGCAGCACAGCAGCAGCAGCACAGCAGCGGCAGCAGCAGCGGCACAGCAGCGGCACAGCAGCGGCACAGCAGCAGCACAGCAGCAGCACAGCAGCGGCACAGCAGCGGCACAGCAGCGGCACAGCAGCAGCACAGCAGCGGCACAGCAGCAGCAGCACAGCAGCAGCAGCACAGCAGCGGCACAGCAGCGGCACAGCAGCAGCACAGCAGCAGCAGCACAGCAGCGGCACAGCAGCAGCACAGCAGCGGCACAGCAGCGGCACAGCAGCAGCACAGCAGCAGCAGCACAGCAGCAGCAGCACAGCAGCGGCACAGCAGCGGCACAGCAGCAGCACAGCAGCAGCAGCACAGCAGCGGCAGCAGCAGCGGCACAGCAGCGGCACAGCAGCGGCACAGCAGCGGCACAGCAGCAGCAGCACGAGGAAATCAGGAGAATCAGCAGCGTGACCTGAGATGGGGTGCGTGGAATGAAGCAGGCAAGCATCATCGCGCACGGGAGGAAGCCATGGCATGACGAGCGCCATCGCAAGGACAAGCCACAAGCATTTTCTCACGAGCACTCACACGCCTCCTTAGGTCGTAAAAGGACTCTGAAATTCAGCTTCATCCGCACACCCCAAACACCCTCCACCTACCCCAACCGCCCTCCACCTACCCCAACCACCCTCCACCTACCCGGCACACGCCTTTCCCAGCCGCCTTGCTCTTGAGATTCAGCTTGATCCGCGACGATCCCCCTCGCCTGCCCCCCCCTACTTCCGCCCCCTCCGCTTCTCCCCCCGCGCCATGCGCCGACGCCCCCTCCGAGGATCTCCCTCCGCCTCTGTTGCGAGCGGAGCGTCGTTCCGCCTTCCCCGACACCTCCTCATCCTCCTCCTCTCCCTCCTCCTCCTCAGATTCGGTAGGTTCACCACCAACAGCGCGACCGTCGCGTCCTTCCGCTGTCCGAACCCCATTCGTCGCCGCCGGCTGTCGCACGTCGAAATCATCGTCGTCGTCTTCTTCTTCCTCCTCCGACGTGCTCTGCTCGTCGTCCTCTCCTTCCCTCTCTATCACCACCTGCCGGATCTGGCGGCGCGTGCTACGCGGCATGGCGCGCGGGGGGACGGAAACTAACGCGGAGAGAAAGAAAAGCGCACAGGCGATCAATGCGGCGTGTCGACGAGAAGCGCGCAAAGCGAACCGAAAGGTCAGGGATTTCCTGAAGATACAGTACGTGGGTTATGGAGGAGTGAGAATCGACATGGACAGGGATTTCCCGAAGATACAAGCCGGGTTCGTGACGGTGTCAGATTTCTGTGATTTCTTCCAATCGTCTTGCGCACGCTACGTCGCCTGCGACGAAATCCTTCGCGAATTGGTAACTTGAGTCGTCTACCCAGCCAAGCAACGGATCCAGCCGAGCAGCGTGGCGTTCACCCAGTTGGACACGTTGCGTTGCGTTATGCGCGAAGCACAATATGCACTGCAGTGAAGGATAGACATACGATACCATACTTCCTACAAACGAGTGTCCATAGTGCCAGTAACGTAGTAGAAGCAAAGTCTATGGGTTATGTAAGAATTTACAAAACCGACTCGAGGAGATGCACTACCTGGATCATTAGGTATTGTTGGCACCGTGTTGCACACTCCTTCCAGATATGCATCGACCTCAATCGTACAACGCCACCACTAGGCAAAAAAATCTTTCCTTAGCCACCACCGCATCGACGCTTGGCAACATCCTAGTGCATTGCCAAGCTCAGTGCCAAATCCCCCCGCCGCCCAAAGCAACGTCCCCTGGAGTGAGCTTTGACTTGAGGGGGTCTGGCAGTTGTGGTGTTGGGGCATAGAACTTGCCTATGGTAGCCTGGAGGGAGAGAGGGACAGATAGAGAGAGAAAACAAGGAGAACGGAGGCGAAGTATGGGACAAGAAGGTGGGCAGGAGCCGAGGGGATGAGCGCAAGCACAGGCACCCATGATCATAAAATAGAATGGAGAGCCGGAAAAATACCTGTGGCAGCATCTCGTGCACGATGGTGAGCATCCAGTCGCCGTTGGTGGACACGATGGCAGCTGTGGGTGGGCGAATGGCGGCCTTGAGAGACGCCAGGGACGGATGGTCCAGGAACACCGGCTCCATCACCATCCACACGTCCCGCGCCCGACCACCCCTGCAGCAAGACCAGGTGGGTTGCAGTGGGGGGGGATGGGAAGAGTATATGTCCAGTACATGAGACATGAGGCTGTAATGTATTTAACATGCATGCACTTGTTCTGGTATGCTCGGCTATCCTCAGGGTTGAACACAAGGTGGTTATCACGGGGCAGGTTAAACGTGTAGGATTGAGGACTGTACCTTTGACTTCTCCTGATGCCATCTGCTAGAACCTCCTCAAGCAATGCGCCCTTGTCCCTGGAAGCAGAGGGTGGGAAATTGAGAGAGAGAGAGGGAGAGAGGGAGACGGAGCGCGGGAGGAATAGCGAGCAGAGGGTGGGTAGTGCGAGGCAGCACAAGAGCAAGAACTGTGGGCGACAGGACCAGTGATCAGGAGCATGACCACCAACCAACGGGAATGACCCTAGCAGCTGAGGGTTATGCGATAGAGAAAGAGAATGACTGCAACGAAGCAACATCGGAGTCAGCTAGGAGAGCGGGAGGGAGGGAATAAGGGTATTACATGAGTGAGTAGGCGTTGGCGAGGGCAAAATAGTAGACCTGCCAGCCGCTCACGGGGTTTGAGAAGGGGTGAGCAACAGTGGTGGAGAAAGCTACATGATGAACTGCATGACATCTGATGGTCTGAATGCGATAGGGGGTGAGACACAAAACGACAGATACATGTGATGGCATGGTACACGAGAAAAACCATCAACCATGCCCATGCTCTCACACCTTTCCCCATGCTCTCACACCTTCCCCCCTCTCACCCGTGGTTGAGACAGATCCAGCATGGGAGGAGCGGGCCGAGCCACTTCTCTCCAATCCAGGCCCCCAAACGCCCCGCCATCTTTCTTCCCCGACGCGCCGCTGTCTTTCTTCTCCCCCTTCGCCCCCCCTGCGCTACCGCCTGTCCCCTGGCCCCCTCCAAACCCCTTCCCCGTTGCCCGACACACTCCTCTCCGCGTGCTCCCGCCTTCCCCCCAACTCCTCCCCGCAGAGCTCCGCGCACTGCCCTGCCCTCCGCGTTCCCCCCAGACTCCGCCCGCACCAATGTCGCGACGGACGGGGGAAAAGCATCCGCCCCGCCTTCCGCTAAGGGCTACGCATGGCGCGTTTGAAGCGCGAGCGGGGACGAGCGGGGGAGACGGAAGACCCGGTGCGACGGCGTGAGGCGCGGTGAGATGCGGCGGAGCGGGAAGCAGGCGCATGGTCGGAGCGTAGATGGGGATGCTCGCACGAGCGGCGAAGGCGAAGGAAGCTAGTACTCGACGCTGTAGTACGCTATTTCCCCCGCTTTGCACCGATTCGCTCTGCACCGGAACTCCTTGGGCGAAGCTCCTAGGGTACCAAAGGGGGCGAGTGACCGACTGATCGAAGCGCTGAACGACTCTGGCAAAAGCTGGCCACGGTGGTTCGGTCGGCGACGCTGTAGGATGTGGGGTGGCGTTGCGAAATGACAATCACTATCGGTCGGTCTGGTGATAATATCCTTGCAATGCGAGCGATGACGAACAGGTGGAGGTCACTTGCGGCGAGGTTGGGGGGGATCCCTAGAGTCCTGATTCCCTGATCCCTTGTGGCAGGGGCTAGTCGCGACGATGTCCTGCGTGCGTGACCCTGTCCCGTCAATTCAAGTTTGGCCCAATCCGCCGGTGGGGATGATTGAGGGGGGTGATGGTGAATTCGCCGGAATATGGTTGGATTCGTCGTGTACAGAACGCGTATGAAATGTTTCGTGAAAAGCGCAAACACTTCTGTTTTGCGAATTTGCCTGTACCGGGTATGACGCCCTTCCTCCACTTCCCTCTTCCCCCCTCTCCCTCTACTTGAAACCCGCTCTGCTCTCCCAATCTCTCTTTTTCGCTCCCTCCACTCTCATCCCCTCGCGTTTTCTGTCACGCCACGCGACTTCGCCCGCACATCACGAGCAACCCAACGAGATGGTCAGCTCCTCCCCGCATCCTTTCAAACCCTCCGCTTGGTCTCATCTCTGCTATTCTGGCAGTTTCTTCGAAACACGGGATCCTCTCGTTGTATTTGACTCCGTCCGTTTTCGTGCTTATCTATAGGAAGTGCGGCTTTCGGCCGGGATCTTCTATGCTATAAGGATCTTTGAGTAGACTTCTGAGACTGTTGCGTTTTGGTATCCACTTTCCCGCCGTACCCCGCGACTGGTCAAGCAGCCTGGCTACATCGCCGCGTCTTGGCTGAGCGAATTTCGCATTAGCCAGGGACCACTGCCTCAGTCTAGCGTAGGCGATCGGATTTGCGAAGTCATTTCCTAAATGACACACACTTACCATTTCCGCCCACACCGCTACGCAACCCCCTTTCCCCCCCTTTCAAAAACCCCGCTCCCTCCCTCCGCCTGTCTGCCGTATTGCGCTCGAACTCTGTGTGTCCCTCTTTCCCATCGCGGCATACTCTACCCATGTGCCATCGATCCCATCCGCGCTGCTGCTGTGTGTCGCGATGTCGTGTCCCATCCGGCAGACGAAGAGGACGAAGAAGGCGGGGATCGTGGGCAAGTACGGCACGCGGTACGGCGCGTCGCTGCGCAAGCAGGTGAAGAAGATGGAGGTCAGCCAGCACGCCAAGTACTTCTGCGAGTTCTGCGGCAAGGTACGTCCACTCTCTAGGCACTCGGCGGGAGGAGGAGGAGAGAGAAGGTGGGCGGGGGGAAAGGGGGAGTGGGGCGGGGGAGGGAATTGTGTTGCAGGTGGAGCGGAGGATTTGGGGTTTTGGCAGGTGCAGGACGTATTATGTGACTGGATTAGGCAGGGGCGGGGGATTAGTCGCAATTGAAGAGGCGGATGAGGCAGCAGAGGAACTTGATGAATTGGGCAGGAAAGGAGCGATGGGGGAAATTGGGGTAGGTATGACGCTGGAGCGTGGAGTGATGAGGGACGCGAGGGGGAATGATGGGAGAGCTGTGAGTGATTCTGCATCGATGAGGAGGAACTGGCAACGATGCTGACGGAGGGTCCTTGGGAATATTTCCTCAAGCAGTAGTGCTGCGGCGACGTTTGCTTTGCGTCGGAGCGAGGGGAAATGACGGGGAGGAGAGGAGAGGGATAGCCTGCGAAGCGAATCGGATTTTCTCGCAAGGAGGGAGGGGCTGGTTGTGTGTATGGGTCAAGCAAGGCTGGGGGATTGGATTTAAAGAGAGTCAGGCGGACTATGGTGAGAGGTTGTTGTCACAGGCTTCAGATGGGGAACGGTTTGCAGGTGGGTAAAGGGGGTGGGTGGGAAGAGGAGTTGGCATGAGGATGCCCCTGAGGGGTCAAGGCAGTAATAATAAGCCTGGCGGATGTGGGTCGGTGACCCTAGACCAGCAAGGCCAGGGAGTGGGTCACCGACCAAGAGTCTAACTGGCCAAGAGTTGAACGGTCTCTGATGATGTCAGTCGGCCGTTCAGCCCCCCCCCCCCCCCCCCCCCCTCCCCCACCCCACCCGTATTCGTCCCTTCCTTTCCCCTGCTCGATGATTTCTTTGCTCAAAGTTTCATTGTCGATTCAGCTCCCTTATCTCCGTCCCTTTTTTTTTGCTGTCCAATGTCTTCCCCCCCTCCCCCCTCCCTTCTCCCTTCCTCTCTCCTCTCCCCAATTCCCCCCTCCCTCCCCCCCAGTTCTCTGTGAAGCGGCAGGTGGTGGGCATCTGGCACTGCAAGCACTGCAACAAGACCAAGGCCGGCGGGGCCTATGTGCTCAAGTGAGTTTCCTCGCCCTGCCCTGCCCTGCCCTGCTGCGGTGCATGTTGCTGCCATGCCTTGTCTCTGTCTCCCAGACCTCCTTGCCAGGCTGTTTTTTAGCCCTTTCAAGCAAGCCATGCCACACTCTGCTACTTCCATGTGAACATCCTTACATGGCTCTGTTGCAGCACCACCACCGTGTCTTCCATTTGTGTGTGTCTAGTGTGCACCTTCTCTGCTGTTTGCATCTTCTCGAATCGAAACAGCCATCTTACTCTTATTCACCCCCTTCCCCATGTCTTCCCCCTCTCCTCCCCTCTCAAACATGGTCTCCCTCTGTGTGTTGCAATCCAATCCAACAGCACGGCAGCAGCAGTCACGGTGCGCAGTACCATTCGCCGGCTTCGGGAGCAGGTCGAGATCTAAGTGTGATCTAAGGGACTCGTGTGCACGTGTGATGTGAATGTGGTGCGACATGCCGGTGCAATGTTGGGGTAGATGCTAGGCGATGATGGAAGGATGAAAGCAGCCTCTTGGCTTTGTGTCATGGAAGGAACGTACTTACTGTGTTCAATGGCTCATTGGTCTGGTTTGCTCTAATGCGTACAGTAGTGTACCCCTGGGCGGAGGGTACTGGTGAGCGTTTACTTATATGGAGCTTTGCACAGTCAGTAGCTGATGTTGTAACGGATTTGGTGAACATTGTCCCTGCACATGCTCCACTAACGGGGCAGTCTAAATCTACCGAAAAGCAGTCACGTTCCACTACACGCCCCCTCCCCGCCCTCGTAGTCTGGCGCCTAAACCCTAGACCGGCGCGCGATTGCTCTGTGATGTTGCTTTCCGCCAAAAATTCGCAGAATCCCACTAATTATCGCAGGATAATCTAGCTATGAGGCGCCTCGAGAAGAATCCGCAGAATTTCGTAGAATTGCGCAGAATTGCGCGCGCAGAATGATGATGATGATGATGATGATGATGTCGCACAGAATTCCGACTCCTTGCTCCCTACTAATAATACCGCTGCACTGGAGAGAAAAGTGCTATTTCCTTACACCCTCTCGTTTCGGTTTCCGCATCCCCAGCCGTCCCCTTTGCTCTATTCCGCACGCTTCCCCTTCTCTTCCCGTTCCCCACGTCCTCTCCTTGCGCCTTCTCATCCCCTTCCCCCCCCGCCCATCCCCCTCCCCCCCCCCCCCCCCTCTTGTCCTCCGCGGCGCCTCGCACCAGCATCTACCTCCGAGCCCTACGCACCATCCTCGATATCAGCACCACCATCAGCAGCAGCAGCAGCAGCAGCATCAGCAGTGGCGGCGCCATCTCGCGCCTCCCGTGTCTCCACTCTCCTGCAGTGGCTGCAGGAGAACGGTGGCCATGCAGGTGCGCGCATGTGGGCTGTTGCATGGAAGTTCCAGGCACGTGGGCATGTGGGCACGTGGGCATGTGGGCATGTGGGCATGTGGGCATGTGGGCACGTGGGCATGTGGGCATGTGGGCACGTGGGCATGTGGGCACGTGGGCATGTGGGCATGTGGGCATGTGGGCATGTGGGCATGTGGGCATGTGGGCATGTGGGCATGTGGGCATGTGGGCATGTGGGCATGTGGGCATGTGGGCATGTGGGCATGTGGGCATGTCCCCTCCACCCCCCTGGGTCCCATGACGACCATGCCACCCAATCCCCTAGAGCGGCCTGCACCAGCATCCATTCACCCCCATCCCATCTTCCCCGCTCCCCTGTATCTCCACCGCTCCAATCTTCCCCGCTCTTCCACGGCTCATCCGGTCTTATCCTTCTCACCCTCCAAGAGCCATCACCACAACTCCCGCCCTCTCAGTCGTCTGCACCTGCCGCCCGACACCCCCAACCCCGCCCTGACCCCATGGCCGAGTGGATGACCCCATGGCCGAGTGGATGACCCCATGGCCGAGTGGATGACCCCATGGCCGAGTGGATGACCCCATGGCCGAGTGGATGACCCCATGGCCGAGTGGATGACCCCATGGCCGAGTGGATGACCCCATGGCCGAGTGGATGACCCCATGGCCGAGTGGATGACCCCATGGCCGAGTGGATGACCCCATGGCCGAGTGGATGACCCATGGCCGAGTGGATGACCCCATGGCCGAGTGGATGACCCCATGGCCGAGTGGATGACCCCATGGCCGAGTGGATGACCCCATGGCCGAGTGGATGACCCCATGGCCGAGTGGATGACCCCATGGCCGAGTGGATGACCCCATGGCCGAGTGGATGACCCCATGGCCGAGTGGATGACCCCATGGCCGAGTGCATGACCCCATGGCCGAGTGCATGACCCCATGGCCGAGTGGATGACCCCATGGCCGAGTGGATGACCCCATGGCCGAGTGCATGACCCCATGGCCGAGTGCATGACCCCATGGCCGAGTGCATGACCCCATGGCCGAGTGCATGACCCCATGGCCGAGTGCATGACCCCATGGCCGAGTTGTTGGGGTCTCGCAACCATTCTTTTCTCCTCCCCCCCATCCCTGTCGCTCCTTTTCCCGCCTCCCCTCCCTCCCCTCCCCCGCGGGCACCATCGCCATCGCCCCCCCAGGCTTACCATCGGTCCCACCTCTCTCTTATCAGCCCAACCCAACCACATCCCTCCCTTCCATACCTCCTACCTCCCTCTTCCCCACCTTCCCCCCCCACCGTCGCCCCTGACCCCCACGGCGGGCTCCATCTGGACACCAGCCGCAACGTGAGCAAAGGCCAGCTGCTCGTGTCCGTGCCTCCCTGCCTGCAGCTCGGCCGAGCCTGGCCCGCAGGCTCAAGGGAGGTCGGGGTAGGAGGGGAAGAGGCAGAAGCAGCGGCAGAGGCAAGAGCGTTCAGTGCGCTCAGGGAACTTGCAGGGTATTTTTCAGGGTATTTTGCAGGGTATTTTGCAGGTTATTTTTTAGAATTCTCAAAAATACCGACCAACTGGTGCCCTGTGAGTTGGAGGGTCGGGGTGTGGAGGGGAGGGGAGAAATGGAAAGTTAGCGGGGGGGGGGGGGGGATGGCATGGAGGGAGCGGGCGGTTGCAGTCTTTCGCCCGAGTCATGATGGTGCTCTCGTGTCTTCGCCGCTCCCCCCTCCCCTTGCCCCTGCCCATTGTCGTTCCTTTCATTCTTTCACCAGTCCCAAATCAATCCAGTCCTCTTATTCCTTTATTATTCTGGATACATATGACCCTTTCTCTCTCTTTCTCTCGCTCGCTCCCAGAGCGCCTCCCGACGCTGGCCCTTGGCCTGCACGTGCTGCACCAGCAGCGCTGACACTCAGCCACGCACACGGATCCAGAATCCACACCTCCGCAATCCACACCCTCCTAATCCTCCCCTCGCCCCTCCTCCACTCCCGCCACCCCTTCTCCCTCCTCCTCCCCTCCCCTCCCCCCCCCTCACTGGGAGCCCTACATCGCTCTCCTGCCGCCCTCCGTCCCGCTCCCCATCTTCTTCTCCCCCGCTGCTCTTGCTGCCCTCAACTATCCGTTCGTTGCGGTTAAGGTGGGTGCAGGGTGGTGCAGGGAGGCGATGCGCAAGACGGCTTAAAAATCGTTGGTGCAGGTTTGAGGTGAGTGCAGGGTTGGGGTGAGTGCAGGGTTGGGGTGAGTGCAGGGAAGGGAGGTGTTGGAGCGGTTTTGGTGTGGGGGATGGGTGGCGCAGTGGGTTGGGTTTGAGTATCTAGGGGTTTCAGATTGCCCCCTGTTCTTTCTGAACTGCTTTGAGGGGGACGGAAAATTGGGGGTGATTGTGGCCGAGGTACTCCCGGCCTTCTTGCAGCTCTTGGCCAATACCGGCTCTCACCGACTCTTCGCCGCCCCTTCGCCGCCTCTTCGCTGCCAACCCTAGCTCATACGAGGTTGCCAAACTCCTCAACCAGTTTCGGCAGCACTGGTCGGCTACCCTCCAGCGGGTTCAGGCACTCACGCCCCCTGGGAAGGTGGGTGAGGCATTCCCGGCTGAGTGGGGCCCCCCTGGGTGCCCCTGGCGAAGGCATGTCCCTAGGGGACTGCTTCGCGATTCTGGAGCCAGTAATAGCGCTCCCTTAGGCTGGCTGGGCGGCGCAGGGACGTATGTGTGGCTGTACTCACCATGTGTGCCTGCCGCCTAAGCATGTACCCTGCCCGGGTTTCCATGCATGCGGAGGTCCGCTTAAAGTGAGTTGGATTGCGACTCATCTCGGCTTTCTTGTTTGTCCTTCAGCTTGATTCCCAGTCTGTCCTTTCGCCTTGTTTTCCTACCCCCCTCGCCCGCCATCCCGTTTCGCTATCCCCTCCTGCCCCCCCGCCCCCCCTCCCCCTCCCCCTCCCCCCATGCCTGCAGGTATCCAGGCGCATGAGTTTCCTGCAAGTTTTTGCCTCGAAGGTGCTGCCCGATACGGTGATCGCCCTGCAGGCAAGTGCTGCCAGCCACGCCATCCATGGCTATCCTATGCCTCACGTCACTTCAATTGGGTTTTGAGAATTCTCAACAACCTTCGTAGCATTTCAATGGTCCTGCCAACCTTCGTGCTACACATGCAGTGCAGTCGCCCGGCAGTCGAGTCCATTCGCGCCAGATGCTTTCCAAGGAACCCACAGCTGAGCTTCTAGCCAACGCAACACCCACTCACCCACCCACCCACCCACCCACGTACTAGTTTGCGATCACATGCATGCACACTACAACCACATTTCTCTGCTACCCAACACCATGCACTGCCACCCCAACACCCCCCGCCCGCCTCCTCAACTTCCTCAACCCTCAGCTACCCTTCCCCGTCAGCCGTCCCCCCCCCTTAACGCCCTTTCCCCTCTGACTCTCTTCCGCCTCTCCCCCTCTAGGTTACTGGCTGGTCGCCCAACTCTCGTCCACCTCTTTTCCTCAAACCATCCCCTCGTCTTCCCCCCCCTCCCTCTCTCCCCCGCCAGGCCTTCCACCGCTGCTGCCTGTTTGGCAGCCAGTGACCCCCTCCGACCTCGCGTGGGCCATGGGGTGTGCCTCGTCGCGCGCCTTCTCGTTCCCTGCCAAGGAGCAGGGGGAGGAGAAAGGAGAGTCGGTGCTGCTACCGGTGATTGATTTCGTCAACCATAGCGCGTACCCAACGGCCCGCCTGTCGATCCTGCCTCATGAGACCTTCGAGGTGAGTGGCAGGGCATGTGCCGTTTTGCGTTGCTCCAGATGCCTCCAGTTTCTCAGTGTGTAATGAGATACCTCCAGTTACTCAAGAATCGACTCATTACACACTGATGCCTCCAGTTTCTCAGCACCACTGCAGAACATCCTGGTATCACGTGGATCCACCTGCAACTGCCTACTCCCTTTTCCATCCACCTTCGCACCTTCCCTGTCGAACGAACATCTCTACTATCCACCAAAGCTGCATCATAACCCATGTGCCATCCGTCACTGCCCTCCGACCCCCCCCCCCCCCTCCACCTCTCCTCCTCACCCTCTTTCCCCTCTCCCCCTCCCCCCCCACCCCCTCCTCTCCACCCTGCAGCTGCCTGCGCTCCTCCCCCTCCCCCCGGGCGAGCCCATCACCATTGACTTTGGGCAGCACACCAACGACCAGTTTCTGCTTGGTTACAGCTTCATTGCCCGCATGAACGACCTCGACTCCGTGCCCGTGCCCTCCACCCCCCTGCTCTTAGGAACAGCAGCAGCTGCTGCTGCTGTGGTTGGCTTGGGGAACGAAGAGGAGGAGGCGGAGGAGGATGCAGGAAAGGAGAGGGTGCAGGACAAGTGGGGCAGGCTGCTGGAAGGCGGAGGGGAGAGTGCAACAAAGGGAGGTGCTTGGAAGGCTTGGGCTGTTAGGGCATGGAGCGGACCTCGAGGTGTATATTGGCGGCCGCTTGTACATGGAGCCTCGGCTGCTGGCCGCCCTGCGAGTGCTCTACGCCCCTCCGTCTGTGGACGTGAGGCGGGTTCCGCTGCAGCAGCTGCAGGTGTTGGAGCCCGTGGGAGCACTGGGTAGGGAGCGTGAGCTGAGGACTGTGCGAATGCTGCTGGGCATCTGTGTGGGGATTTCAAGGGACTTGGTTGGGCTGGTCAAAGGAGGGGTTCCCAATACCAAGGGAGCCCTCACTAGTGGCCTGCTTGCGCCTCTTGTGAACGTTGCTGATTCTTGCACTGCTTTTTCCAAGGTAGCAGGGTTGCAGGAGAGGGGGGAAGCGGAGAGGGGGGGGATTGGGTGGAATGACAGCTCAGGAGCAACGGCTGGTGGAGGTGTTTCACGAGAAGAAATGGCGGCTGGTGGTGTCGGTGATGGACTTTCTGCATGCCAGGTGGCTGCAGCTGCGTGCCCTGTGGCATGGAAATGGAAGATAGGGAGAGGGGAGAGTAGAGAGGCATGTGCTTTAATGTGTGGATCAAGCAACCCATGCCTGCATTGCTCTAATCGAATGGAATTTTTTAGTGGTGCATGATAGTGTGAGGTGGTTGTTCTTTAAGCTTTGTTCTTTAGTTACATTTCCAATGAATTCCATGAAGTCATTATTTGCCACGATGTTAGCAAACTAAGCTCTATACTGCTCGTATGGTGATTATGAACTACGAGTGTATTCATTGTATGATATATCGAGTCCCCTAACGAGGAAGTGCCTGCCTCCTTTCTCCGCCCAATCTGCCAGTACCATCAGCTCCGTTCCGCCATGCCCGCGCGATCGTGGGCGCACGCTGCTGCGCTCCGCGCCTGGCGCAGTCGAGGAGGCGCTGGCCCGGGCTGCCCCGCGCCAGCCGGCTTCTCTCGCGCGCGATCGCTCTATGGTAAGCCCCCTTCCTCCTGCAACCCTTCTCCACCGGCTCACTCCCGCTCACTGTCTTCCGGCCCCTCGAGTCTCAACTCCCGCTCCCGCCCGCCGCTCCCACTTTTCCCCCCTGCCGCTGCCGCTCTCTTAGCGCGTGCGCAGCAGCTCGCGCCCATGCTTCCCGTCCCGCCGCACCTCTCCGTAACAGCGCGGCTCTTTGGCCTCTGCCTCGTCGCAGCTTTCTCATTCCTCCGTCCCGTCGCCGCTTCAGACTGTGAGGGAAAGGGGGCCCAAGTGTTCTCATTCTTCCCGGTCATCGCCCTTTGCCCCTTTCCTCGTGCTCATCGTTTTCCGCCCCTTTCGTCTTTCCCATCCCCCCTCCCATCCCCCCTCCCATCCCCCCTCCCATCCCCTTCCCCCCCCTCTCATTCCTCCT